CATAACGGTTACGTGGGAAGACAAACGCCATCGCTCCGAACGCCGCCGCCCCCCCACCCCTCTTCCTCCAAGCTCCTTATAAACTGAGCATGACTTCATATAGTGTGGAATATCCCTTTGGTCAGTTTGGGTCACCTGTCCTGTCTGTGTCTCCTCCCAACTTCTTGTGCACCCCCAGCCATCCCACTGGCCGGGCAGTGCAAGAAGCAGAAAAGGCCTTGGCCCCATGTAAACACTGCTCAACAATAAGTCCATAGAACAAAAACATCTCTATATTATCAATGCTGTCTCCAGCACAAATCCAAAACGTATCCCCACACTAGCTACTATGAAGAAAAATCAATCCTCTCAGCTGAAACCAGGACAGACAGTTTAATAGGATAACAAAGGAAGATAACAACAACAAAATAATACTAATACTAATACTACTACTACTAATAATGATGATGATGATGATGATGATGGACAAATGCAATTGCTCACCACCTGCGGAAAAAAAAAAGCCCAGTCTATTTCTGAGCAGCGATCCCACCTCCCGGCTAGCTTCCCCAGTTCTATATGGAGCCTGACATTATATGATAGGGAATAGTCCTGTGACCAGTGTGGCTCAGCTGTCCTGGCTGTGCTCTCCCAGCTTCTTGTGCACCTGGCAGGGCGTGAGAAGCTGAAAAGTCCTTGACTTGGTGTAGACACTACAACTACCTAACAACTAAAAACATCAGTGTGTTACCAATATTATTCTCGTACTAAACCCGAAGCACAGCACTATACCAGCTACTAGAAAGAAAATTAACTTTATCCCAGCCAAAACCAGATCCTTTTAAAGTAATTGATAAATTTGTTTTTAAAAATACTGGTACTGTAGAAAAAGTTTGTTCACAGTTGTTTACCTCTACCATTGTGTTGGAGTGCTTCATGCTGCTGTGCTGGTATGAACAAAATAATTACAGGCAGAGTATGGAAAATAATTTTAGATTATTTTCATCAATTTCTTTATGTTTTATGCTGATAATTCACAGTTTTACACCAATTATAAATATTAAACATTAATTTTCTTTTTAAAATGTCTTTTTAAAATTGCAAATTGGGATTTCAAGTGTTTTTAACAAGCAATTGGCCTATCATAATGCTCTTTGATAAGGAGAAGGTTTCTGCTGTGTCTGTAAATCTATGTTGCCAATCTTTTACAGGTAAATATTACACCTTCCGTACATTCCACTGGTGAATTCCCCCAGCTTCTCCATCATGGTGTGAATGTGCCACATAATGAGTCACATTTGTTGACTCAGCAGAATGGCAGCACAGCTAACATGCTGGAAGCATCGATGAGATCCATTACGCCTCAGATTAATGGGAGGTCCTCTAGTGATGACTTTGACCAGCTGATCAGAAATATGTCTCAGGTAAGCATGTCATCTGGTAACCACAAAACGTGGATCACTGATTATCTGGAAGATTAAAATACATGTATGTTTATTTAAAAGAAATTAAGTTATTAAGCAAACCAGAGCTCACTTGCTGTATAAAACAAAAATAACCTTTTAATTTAAGGACCAATTGGTTGATGAGAAAACAGTTGCAAAAGTAGCCTTGACATTGTCACTGCTGAGTTATTGTCCTTAGCTGGGCAGTGTGCCTCTCACAGATCAGCATACCATTTTCTTCCCGTGCTCATTGTAGGACTGCAGCACTGTGCTTGAGGGAGATGCTTTGTCAGAGCATGGTCTTGTATGCATAACTAATGAAAGCTAGTTCTGTGACTTGCTTGGAAATAAGATGGAAAATTCCTTTTTGGCCTTGCTACACATTGTTCTGTAATCTTACTGCTTTCCTGTGGTAGGCAGAAATGGTGTATGAGTCCCTTCAGTGGCTGGAACTGAAAATGGCCAGGCATATGTTCTAGCATTTTTCCAATTAACCTGTAATAAAGCCAGATAGGGGAAGTCTGCCACTCTTTTTCCTGGAGAGCCTTTTGCACAGTCCTGCTTCTTCCCTCTTCCTGAAATTCGTCCTCTTTTTTCTAGTTCTGCTTGAGTGTTGGCCTGTACCCTCTAAAATTTTATAGATGCATATATTGTAGTTTAGTCACCACTAAGCCTAAAGTCTGTATATTTAGCTGTTGTTTCCTGATTTTGCTCTTCTGGGCCATAATAATCTTTATTTCTCAAATCTTTCATAATTGTCACTTTTCTGTATGATAGGGAGAAATTGGAACTGAAATTAGCCTTGTCCAGCTAATTGCTGTGCAATTAGAAAATCATTTCCAAGTTGTTTACCACCTTCATTAATGCCGCTTTTCAACATTTTTAACATTTGTACCCTTTTTTCTTCTACTGAACAGGGTCGTCTTGTGGAGACTATTGAGCTTATTAAACCTTTAAGTGGTGGTCTGGGCTTCAGTGTTGTGGGACTCAAGAGTGAAAACAGGGGAGAACTAGGAATATTTGTGCAAGAAATCCAGGAGGGAAGTGTGGCACATAGGTAAGATTACTACTGGAATACGTTACTGTACCAAGTGTTAACACAATACTGCAATTTAATTGTGTTATTGCTGTTGTTTGGGGTTTTTTTGTGGTGCAAGGAAACTTTTCTCTCGTATTCTAAGCCATGTATCATAACAGATTTAAAATTAGTCATCACTAAAATTTAATGTAATGTTGGAACAGGTCAGCATATGATCTATTCTGAATTTCCAGAAACTAAAGATGTAGTTTCTCTGCGGTTTGTTTATATCTCCTTTCCGGCAGTGAAAATGAGGAGGGTACCATTCTGTGTGATGGCTTTTAAAGCGGAAATAGAGATTTTGCCATCCATGCATGCTCTGAAAAACAATTTGGTGCAAAAAAACCAGTTGTAACTAGCAGGGTTGTTTGTTAGGTAGGTTCCCACTGGGCAGGTGTGAAGCCCAGCTTTAAGGTCAAGAAAGGCTTGACCTGAAGTTTTTGGACATATTCAACTAATGTTACCAGAAACTCAGCAGTAATAATAGTTTGCTGAACCTATGCTGTAGACTTTAATCCTGATTCCACAAGTACTGTTGAGAGAAATGGATTTCTGCTGTAAGAACAGCCCAAGGGAGCAAACGAACTTGCTGGTGAATGGCAGCAGCAGTGGTTCACTGCAGGCTGGTGGGGTGTATCAGGATTTGCTGATCAGGATCCCCACCAGAGCTGCTTGTGTGGTATGGCTGAATCATCTCAGTGCTATTTCTCACTGTGCTGCAGGGAGAAGTTTTCTGATTATTTGTGATCTGAACACCGCCCTTTTAACAGAGGGTAGAGCTTGACCTGCAGAGTTAATTCAGTTACGAAAAGTGGCATGCTTTATATCATTACAATATTGTTTAATCTGCCTAAATTCACTTTTTCTTTTTTTTCCTTCCCCTTCAAGAGATCTTTCCTTTTACTTCTCTTGCTCCATGGAGTTGAAATGTGTCTTTACTGAATGCCCTTAACTGAATTGACCTGATTCAGTGGTGAGAAGAGAAACATTGAACAACTGTTACAGGGCTGATAAATCAGAAAGGCCCTGGCAGTAATAAGTCTTTGAGAGCACTCTGAAAAACAGTTCAAACTCACAAGTGAAATGGATTGAAGCTAAGTAGTGTTTATCCTGAATGCTGTTGAGTACCTTTGGCTTCTACACTGTAGTTGCTCACAGAAGATGGTGTAAAGCTGGTGTTTTCATTGCTGCCCTTTGTTTTCAAAGCATTGCCACTTTGGGATGTTGAAGACAAGACTCCAGAGTTTTTGCTGTTTTTTTGTAAAAGCAGTAGTGGTAGTGGAGGAGGCAGAGGGTAACTCTTCTGTGTAGGCTTCCTCTGAAGTAGGTCTGAGGAAGGACTCAGTATGTAATTTTACAGTAGTGCTTCCTTTGTCAGAAAGTGAAGAGTTATTTTTTAATTTGTTCAGGGGTTTTTTCCCCTCTCATTTAAAAGGGATCTGTTTTATAATTTTCTTTCTGTTTCTCTCTCTGCCTTGCCTTCCTTTTTTCTTTTTTTTTTCCCTTGGTTTTGTGCAAAAATAAATTTGTTTCCATAACATCTTGATGAAAGTATGTTCCACTCCATGGTTTGATGAATATTCAGAATCGGCTCAATGAACAAAATGGAGCACTTGGTCTGTTAAGCAAGAGGCTCAAAGTCAAGAATAAACATAAGTTCCCAGGCTATGATTGGGAGCAACTGAGATCTAATATGCTTAGTCTCGGATGGGGGTACAGGGAGAAGAAAGCTAGCTAAGGGGTAGTAGCCAGGGGAGAGTGGCAGTGGGATTAGCTTCAAAGGAAGTGATCACCAGGGTACCGCATCAGCTCCTTTCAGCAGAACTGCAGGGAGAGATTAAAAAGTGGGGGGAATAGAGAAAAGGCTATTAAAAATACTGGAAAATTGTCAAAATATTGTAATTCCTGTGGCAACACTTCTTTGTTTTTTCTTGTTTGTTTATTTTGTCGTCCCCCTTCCCTGTTTATGCATACATGACAGAGATGGAAAGCTGAAAGAAGCAGATCAAATCCTTGCTATTAACGGACAAGCCCTTGATCAGACAATTACACATCAACAGGCTATCAGCATCCTACAGAAAGCAAAAGATAATGTCCAGCTGGTTGTGGCCAGGGGCACGTTCCCTCAGCTGATCAGTCCTGTAGTTTCCCGGTCTCCGTCTGCTGCTAGCACAGTTTCAGCCCATTCCAACCCGGTGAGTATACCCCAAACATCTGTGTATTCAGTTCTGGGCATGTGTGAGCTTATTGCGTCTAGTATTTTGAGACCTTTTTCTTGTAACTTGTATGTACATTTCCTTCACAGTTCCGGAGGTTTTTCTTCTATTTATCTTTGTTGTACCTTTTCCCATGCAAAGAGTAGAAAATACTCAGGCTTGCTGTGGGGGTGGAGGGGAGGATATTTATCTTGGCTCTGTTTCTTCTTCCCATCTGCCAAACTCTCTGTATCCATCAATGCAAATACATCGTGTTTACCTTACTTTATGAAGCTTTATTTTGAGGTAGCAGTAAACAGGATCTCTTTTTCTCTTTCTCTTCTGCTTGCGCAAACAGATGGTGATATTAACTACACTTTCTCTTCCTGGTATCTTCCTGATGTAGTGGCTTGTCGTGGGATGAAATGGCCAGTGTAGGTTTCACTGTTTAGTCATCTGTGGCTCTTCTTTAAGGGAATTGATAATCAGAAGTATATGAAGCAATCAGTCTGGAAAAAGCAGCTATTTTAGTGTTTAGCATAAAACTTTTAGTGAAGAAGTTTCAGAAGTGTTACTTTCTTCTGTGTGCATGAATAAAGCTGATTGGCCTAACTTTTCCTGTCACTGCATAGGAGAGGCCTGCTCTCTTCCAGTATTCTTGTAGTATATTCCAGTATTCCTACATTTCTTTCTCTGGATGATTACCTCCGCATTCTCTGAACAGCTTCCATTCATTGAAAAACTGTTCCTTTCAGACCTGCTGCAGCTCCTTCTGGTTTTTTTATGCATGCCTTTCCCAGTCCTTGTGTTCCCTTTGCTTTCAAATGCTGGGGGAAAGCAGCTTATCTGGAGCCATTCTTTTTCCTTCAAGCTTTATGTTAAGACTGTGGATACTCAAACAGGTACTATAGGGCTTTGAATTTGCAGTACCTTGATTATTCCACAATTCCTGCTTATTTTCAAGATCCTACCTGGTAGAGCACCAGCTGTGGTTTTAAATTTCAGATGAGTTTACGGTATGGTTTGTTCTTCAGGCGAAAGAATACCAGGAGCTCCCCAGTGGTCGCTTCAGTACCACCCTGTGCGAGTGAGCTAGCCTTTGTCTTTCAGAGCAGTTTTGCTCTGTCAGAACATGAAGCCTGCCGTCAGAGCTACCTCATTCCAGTGCTGTTGACGTCAGACAACTCGGAAATCTTCATTCATTACACAGGAGGCAGTTCTGCTAATGCGTACCTCACAATGCCTGGTGCTGCTGTCAGCCTTAACCTCTGAATGGGGTTTATGCTTTCTCCTGTGCTTTGTTACAGTGACCAGTGTGAACATGCACTTCCCTGAGGACTTCAATTTCCAGTCTTTTGAGATTTCCAAGCAGCAGTATTTTTCTCACTGACTGCAATGGGGCATGGAGATGGACAATCCTAGGTTCCTGCTTAAATTTATTCAGGAAGTTTTGGCAGGCCTGACCCATTACCCAGGTCTGGCTGGTACTAGAGAAATTCCAGCTGTTACAGAATGAGCGATTTATTGCTAAATGTTATGTAATCTTATACCTAACAGTATTTATTTGAAAGGTCCCATATTTCCACCTTCCTCCCACCTTCCTTTATTCAAAAACATACCCAAGAAATAAGAGAAACTATTTTGCAAGCTTTAATACATATGTCCTTATTTTAATCATTTGCAAGCTGATATTTATTCCTTTTAGGTTCATTGGCAGCATGTGGAGACCATTGAGCTGGTGAACGACGGCTCAGGTTTGGGATTTGGGATAGTGGGAGGAAAGTCAACTGGAGTGATTGTTAAAACCATCCTCCCAGGAGGGGTGGCTGATCAGGTAAATTCAACTTCCCCTTCCGTTTACCATTCAGTAAGGTGTGAAGTTACTCTTTACTTTTATAATCATGCTAAGTAATGGTAGCTTCTTTCCTCATAAATGTAAAAAAGAGAGTGCAAGTGGTGAAATTTATCCTTGGTAAAGGTGTGTTTACTGCAGGGGATCTGTGCATTTCAATGTAAAAGCTGGATTAGGCTGTAAATCACATTTTCAAACCTGTTACGTTATGCATGTTTGGTGCAGATGTATTTAGACTCCTAATTCTTTCATGAATATATTGGTTGTAATCCAGGGGTGGGGGGGACACCAAGAACTTACTTGCTCTGCTCGGACAGCTAAGAACATCTTCTTCTCTTTGCTGGGGTTACTGAAGGTGGGAGCACGTATGTGGCATTGTGCATCCACTTCAGGACATGGGCTCTGCTCCTGCCTGAAAGGCTAATGAGAATTTAAATTGGTGATCACAGCCCATTTCGAGATTGTCCGTTAGACAAGTATCTAGGGTTGCATTGAAGATGGTCAAGGATTGAATGGGCACAGAGACTGGTCTGTCTTCTGACCACAGAAGCGGTGGCCTGGTAGCAGGGCCTGCAGATGCATGGGCAGGATTTACTGCTGCACTCTTTCAGTTCTTTTTGCAGACCTGTCTCTTTAATGCTTTTCACGTGGGATAAATTGATGTGAAGCTTTTTTATTCGTTAAAATTAAATCGTTAGAAGAGTAAGCCAGTGTGAAGCAATATAAATAACTGGATCACAGTAAGGAAGAAATGTATTTTATTTTGAAGTTACGGTTAATCCTGAGGACCAGTTTTTAAGTAGAAGTGCAAAGCTGAATATATGTTTGTGTGCTGTCTTTTGGAAGTGTGGAAATGAAACCTGAAGTTCTCTAATCTACATGCAGTTGTTAAATACCAGTGGTACTAACCATAATTATATGATTTTTTTTTTCTGCACTTGGGTGACCGACTGCTTGAAAAAGGATGTCCTGGATATTTCTGGGGAAATTTCTAGTAAAATTAGTGTGCCATTAGGCAAACTACTTTTCTTCTCCATGTTATCAGGATATTGACTTGGGACTCAAAAAAAGTCACCTGGTTCATATGTCTTAAAGGTGATTAAAGGTGTGCAGTCTTTTTCTAATTGTGTGGTACATGGGAAAAATGGCAGGATGTTAACAGATTATTTTTTTTCATCATCATTTTTCATCCAGCATGGGAGATTGTGTAGTGGAGACCACATCTTGAAAATTGGTGATACAGACCTGGCTGGAATGAGCAGCGAGCAGGTGGCACAAGTTCTGAGGCAGTGTGGAAATCGAGTGAAACTGGTTATTGCAAGAGGTCCTGTTGAGGAGCCACCTCCACCAGCAGTCCCTCCAGGTACACCAATACCTGTCTCCACAACAGAGAAACAGGTAAGCAACAGTGAATATACTTGAACTCATGGCAAACTTGTACTTCAAACTCCCTTTTTTTTTAACTGCTATTTGAATATCTTTCATGCTTATGTTCTCAAAAGCCAGGATTTTCTTTCCAGGTAGCAATGTTCTCAGCTGACAGTCTGGGAGAATTTAAATGAGTCCACAATGCAAGGAATTATATGTGCAAAGCCTTTTGGGATCAAGGCTTAGGGCTAGTATAAGTATGATCTGAATAACTTCTGGTTCTGGGTTGCTTGTGATTGTGCAGTAATACACTGGGAACAATTGAAGCCATGAAGTCTTTTCTCCAGCTGGCTCTGGAGCATTTCTACGGCTGCCTGTCCTTTTCCTCTCCAGGAACATTTCTTTTTTCCATATCATTGCAGCCATCCATCAGACAGTTCCTCCCTGTGCCAGCCAGCACACAGATGCTCCTTCTTTCCTACATCACCTGGCATTGCTCGTTTGCTAGATGTCTTCCAAAAAAAGTCAGCCAGCTGCTACCCTTATTCCCCTGCTGATGATTGTACTCTCTATGCTGTTACTCCGCTGCAACCGTCAGCCCCTTAAACAGTGCTGTAAATACTATCATGTCCTGTCAGCTCTAAACCTCTACAAAATAGGTCATTTGCATATTTGCAGCAAAGCCTGGTTTTGTGAGAGCCAGGAACAGTAGTGTTTTGTCACATACAGTTATGACCAGATATATTTAAATGTGAATATGCGGAGTAAGTGAATGAGAGAAGAAAAACGTGGTTTTGAGCCTACAACTAGATAGAATTTACACCTGAAAAAGAAATTTTTATTTTACTTTCCCGTGTTGTTTTTCTAGATATTTTCTTCCCAGTTACAAATTACATTTCAGATAGGTCACTTTGGAAGAAGAAAAAGCCTTAATTTTTGCATGATTACCATTATTTTGCCTCTGTCCATTGTAGTGGTATCTGTGGAATGCAAACATATATTCATCCCCTTTGTTGTGGCTGTAATGCAAAGAAAGTTAATCTTAACATGGACCATCTTCCGAGCATCTAAGAGGAGACAGACTTTTGTGTCTCTAAAGCACTCAGAGGCATGAAAACCTGGCTGCATTTTAGATAAAGGCATCAATATTTAGTCCAAATATTATTTATCTGAAAAGCAGCAGTCTCAAAAGATGTATTTGATAATTTCATCTGTGTATATTTATTCAGTATTTGCCTTTCTGAGATTATATGATGCAATGTTGAAGGCTATATCTGCAGCTGCAGGATATATAGGATTGCCAGTACTGAGGAAATACCTCGAAGCCACCAAGTAGCAAAATTTGAGTTTTTTGCCATCTTCCTCTCCTTTTCCATCCTTTTCACTACCTCATGCCTGGTACATCTCACCTGGCAGGAGGCAGGCTATTTTTAACTTGCTTCTGCCAGCACAAAATCTTGTTCTTGGAGGGAACACCTAGTTAATAGTGCTGCAGGCCTTAGTAATTTGGGTGTGGAGTGAAGATAATGATGGAAACAGCTTGGTTTGTCTATATCTTCCTGGCAAATACAGGGTGGGTGAAGACTTTATGATGCTCTTAAAGCTGTTAGGGGGACCAGAATGGCTTTTCAAAATGAGCACTTCTCATCGTGTCCCCTGTAGATGCATATCCTGTAAAAATTCATGAGGTTATGGAAATTGGAGCAGGTTTTTAGTAGCATTACCTGTGGCCAAAATAATCCTGTATTATGAAGCAGAGAGGTAGTTAAAGCAGGAGAAATTTATTTTTCTTGTGTTTCATTGTGGTTTTGGGTGGAATTGTTCAGGTAAAGAACTGAAATCAGATTCTCTTTTGGCAAGTAGCATCATAGCTCTCCTGAAGTCTTTTTTTTTTAGCACATGCATCCTCATCCAGTCAAACTGGGTTTAGTTAGTATCTGCCTGGTTGCTGTATTGGCACTTTAAAAAATATTAGTTGCTATTTGTCATGCAGAAGAGACAGAATAAAATAGGAGTATAGCAGGATCTTGATAGATTTATACTATATTTATGAATTCCCATTTTAAATATGTGCATAAATATTGATTATTTACATTATTATGTGCATAAATATATCGTACAAATACAATGAAATTGAAACCTAGTATATGTAATCATACACTGATATATATCATCCATGGAAGTGGCTATTAAGTATCTGTTTTCAACAGCTGAAGGATGAAAAATTTAAAAAAATCCCTTTTTTAAAAGTTGAAATTAAGTTTTATAAGTTGATTTATTTTAATATGAAAGCAATATTGTTGGAATGGGATTTTAGTAAGTATAATACTTTGATTAACAACAAATAAATGAATTCAGTAACAAAGAATTTTTGGGGTAATGAAATTCAGAGGGTTGTAGTAGGTATTAGCGTTGATTGTAATTATTTAACTAGCTGGAAGTATAATTGCTACTTTCTAAAACGGTTTTTTTAAGTCTTTCAAAAATGAGAAACATAATTGCCTCAGTAGAAATAGCTTCGATTGTTTTAAACTTGGCATGCATAGCAAGAAATAGTTACAGTTATTGAAAAGGAATTTAAACAAATAGAATACAAAGTATAATTTTGATCTTTTTTTTTTCTGCTTCTAAATAACATAGCAGTCTAAAGCTAGTTCTGAGGAAGTCCCAGAAAGGAAGCAAGCTACATATTCTAACATTTAAGCATGGTTTACTGTTCAAGAGGTTCATTGTTCAATTTGTACAAATTTCACCAGTCATTTTTGTCATCAAATAATGATTTTATAGGTTAGAGGGTAGTATCCCAGGGGAAGGGGGCGGGGAGGGCATGACCTGCATTACTTTGCAGTGAGGAATGTTACCTATGTCTAGTTTCTTTGCTGAATACCAAATAAGAGCAGGAGCAGAGTTGGTACTTTCTTTTTTACATTTGTGTCTAATTTTACATGTTGATGACGTAAAAGAAACTTTAAAGGAGAAAAAGCTTCCTTTCTAATCACACTTTTCTTATTAGGTAGATGCTTCTGTTGATAGCTGTGAAGATGGGGAGAAATTTAATGTTGAACTCACTAAAAACATTCAGGGGTTAGGAATAACTATTGCTGGTTACATTGGAGACAAAACATCAGGTAATGATAATCTGTTATGTACTGTGGTGTGTGTGCATCAAAGACTTAATTTTGGTTTTGATATAGCATATCTGAAATAAAACCTTGACCATCTAAAATCTTTTTTAAGTTTGTAAAGAAAAAGGAATTTTTTTCCTTTTGTGAGAAGGACATTCAGATTAGAAGCAATGAGTTTTATTATAAAATTCCACCTCAGTATTTTTAAATGAATTTTAAAAATTCAAGCTAAAGCTTGTGCTTGTATGTTTTTGTGAAACAATTCTAAAATAGACTGAGCCTTTTTTGTTAGAACTGGCTTGGCTTTTTATGTTACATTTTCATTTTTAAAAGGTTCTTACAAGATAATGTATTAGTTTTCTGAGTAGTTTTATGAGATTTTTTTTAGGAGTTGTTATTTTTTAAACAATGTGTATAGTACTGCTAGCAGATGAAGAATTCCTTCGTGACTTCTGAATACAGTGAATGTTTGTTGACCTCTGGGCTGTTGCAGCCAATAAATAAGTTAATTTAAATAAATAAATGCAACAGTGTTCATGTACAGTTGAGTATTTTTACTTTGTAATTTCCACTACATTTTTCAGAAAAATGATCTAGAACTCTTGTTAGGCCTCCCAAGAGGGGATTTGGCAAATGCAGTGCTGCTAGGAAGAGACAGTTGCTGAATATGTTGGAAGACTTCTCAAAGACCTCTTTGACTTTTACCCATGTTATATATTGTTAGCAAAATGTATGGACAGATACAACCCACATTATTGGCAGTCTATAGATATAATTTGTGGGCTTTGAGAAGCTGGACTTAATTTTAAGTCTGTTTCGCAGCATAGGATGATCACAGTTTCTGTGAGTCTGCTCTTTAGCAACTTCCAGTTGAATCTTTAAAAGGCAAATTAAATTGTAGCACATGTGATAGATCTGATTGATACCATATTTTAACTGATTTAGTGTTGGAGTATCACCAACCTTTGATTTTAAATTATTGTGCTGCATGTAACTCCATTAGAAATTATTCTTGCCTTAGGAACTAATTGGGTATGTCGCTTAATTTTGTGACTTAACGCTTAGTTAAAGAACAACTTCGCTGTCGAAGAAGCAGCAATAAAACTACTGGGCAACATGTTCCATGGCTGAATCTTTCATGAATGACAAATAGCAACTTGTCATGTTATGGTGCAGCTGTTACAGGATATAAAACCACTTGGAAATTAGTAGGACCAGTCATTCAATTATTCACAAAACCTGGGAGAACAGCAAATTAAGAAAAAACAGAAAAGAATTGTCAATGTCATGACTTAAATATATTTGTAGTCTTATTTTTTTCTAAGCTGAATATAATCACTAGAGCAAAACATAGATTTTGCCCTCCTTTCTGCTAACTTATGCCATATTGAGGCTCAGTAAAAGATGAGTTTCAGGTCTGCAAAGGCACTGGGTTGTCTTGACAGCTGTTAAAACTCATAGTGGATTATCTTCCCATTGAATGTATTTATTTAACAGAGTTGGAACTTGTTGTGAGAAAGTAGATTCTGTTAAGTTTTCTGATACCAACGTTATAGGCCTGTGACTGTCAGACCTGATTTCATTCTGGTTCATACTAGTATTTTTCTCGATTTCATGTGTACTATATAAAATGTGCATATAGGAGCTCCATAGATTTTCACTTTACTGAGCTGTTGAAGTTGTTTCAAATTCCAGTGTGTTTTTCCTGAAATAGATCTCTTTTTGTAAAACATCCCTTCTCTAGATGTTTTATGTATAAGGCTTTTCCTTATGATTCAAAGTCTGTAACTGTTTAAAATGTTTTTTGGTTTGGGGTTGGATTTTTTCTTTCTTTTCTGCTTCTTTTTTTTATATTGGATCAAATACTGACTTACAGCTGTAGTTAAAAGCTGGTTCATACGTGAGTTGTAGTTCTCTTTGCTTATAATTTTCTGCATTTGGTTATCCAAGCATGAGTTTTCTTAATTAAGTACATAGAAAATACAGAATTTACCAGGTTAGTGAATTTTCTGTCTTGCAGTTTTAAATCTGGCCAAGAGTCAGAGATACATTTTTTGTCGATGTTGGTTTCAAAATTTAGATTAAAGTAAGTTAAAATTCTTTTGCAGCAAGAATTGGGAATTCGGCATTGTAAGATTTTGAATCAAGTCTTATCCAATGCAAGCTGACATTAATCAGGGTTATCCTTTAGAAAAAATAGTAATATGTATGTTTTACTTAAAGCATATACCATGTTTTACTTAAAGCATATACTTTCTTGATGATTCTTTCCTTATCTTACCTGGAGATTGTGTTTTCTTTCTTTTCCTCCCTTTGGCTGGTGGCATTAGTTGGAGATTGTAGCATTATTTAAGTTATTTCTTAATAATTTAATTTTCTCTGTTTTTTCATCCCAGAACCTTCTGGTATCTTTGTGAAAAGTATTACAAAAGGCAGTGCGGTTGAACATGATGGCAGAATCCATGTGGGAGATCAAATTATAGTTGTAAGTAAACAAAAAGAAATTAGATCACTTGTTGGCAAAACTCTGCTTCTTTCACTTGTAAAGAATTAGTGCTTGTTTAAAACATTTAGGATTGGTGTTGAAATGGTGAGTCCTTTTTTTGACTGAGTATTCAGTCACACCTATCTCATTATCTGTGTGTGTATAACTTGTTTTTCTTAAGAAAAAGTGTTGTGTGTCTGTATCTTATCAGTAAGAGCTTTGAGACTGCTTAGTAAAGGCCAAGTTTTAAAGTTTGATTGAAATTAAGCATCTGTGTTGAAAATTATTTTTAAAGGTATGTCGTTAAGGTTTTAGATGCTCAGAGAAAGAAGAAAATATTTTCATGCATAAAATGCTAGTTGTATGATGAAAATCAGGTCATAAATGCTGGAACCCTGTTTTTGTGTCTGTCATAGATCTGATCTTGCATTGTGTGAAGGCAGCACTAAGAACAAGTTATGGTCTCTCTCCAAGTACAAATGTGTCTGCATGTTTGTATGGAGAAGTGTATATGATTTTTATGATTTAAATGCTGAGTACAAATGATTATTCCAAAGTTCAATTTCTTCTTCTACTGCAGATGCAGAAGGAGAAAAAAAGATTTGAGTGACCTGGGACAGAAGAATAATAAACATTGTTACAATATGGTTTGCTGAAGTGTGCAGGAAAAATTAAATAACCCCAGCTCATTTTTTAATTACTTTATATTTAGAAGAGCGCCAGAGTTGGAAGAAGTTCAGAGAAGGGCAAAAAAATGATTAAGGGTCCAGGGGGAGTCATTCTTCATGCAGGAGAAATTAAAATAATGGAATATGTGTGTTGTATAGACAGACTGAAACAACTACAGGGGCCAAGGCATTGTTAGACGTATTTTAGAAATTAAAAGTACTGAGGGGCAAGATGGAGAAAGAGTAGGATAATATGGAGTTTGTGGGGAGAAGAGGAATAAAAGGTGGTGTGTACTAGGGACAACAGGATGAAATTGGGCAATACCAAAGTCTTGAGTTTCAGAAAAAACCCTGAGTTAATGAGGTAATAGGGAAGCTTCAAATGGAAGGGGCCAAAATCTTGTTCTTTAAAATACGAAAATGATGGACCAGAGATAACACCTGGCTGGCTGGGACAATGTTTGATTGGGAAATTGGACTTCATGGTGTTCAGTAGTAGACTTCACTGTGTCTGGTGTTATTTGGCCTCAGAACAGCTGTGCTCTGTAGTTCTTCCTACCACAGTGCACAGATGTGTCTCTCCTCACCCTCCCCTCCCCAACTCTCTTGGCCATGTCTGTGTTGGTTTATGCACCCACTATTTTCTCCTCGGAGGTGGGGATGGCTGGAGAGGTCAAGCAGGCAGCCTGCACAGCATGTGCTGTGTCTTCTCCCACCTCGCAGAGCAGATCTGCCTGGCCCCACCGTGGTGGGCACACAAAGCACTTCTCCCCACGTTGCTGTGGTACTGGTGGTTATGTAGCTGTGGGGTACTGCAGTGAAAGTGCTTAGTATATCTGACGTTGCTAAGTCGTCCAGGTTTTTGTTCATGTCCTTTCACTTGCTTTGTGCTTAGGCTAACAGATGCTGAACTCAGCGTATTATGTTCCCCTGGACATTTTTTTTTTTTCCGGATGTTGTCTTGTGGGCTGAAAAGCTTCTTAATCATGTAGGTGGATGGAACAAATCTTCAAGGTTTTACTAATCAGCAAGCAGTTGATGTTTTGCGGCACACGGGACAAACAGTTCAGCTCACTTTGATCAGAAGAGGGTTTAAGCAGGAAACTCATATTCAGCCTCAGGAGGACTTCAGTGCTGCTGTTGAAAAGGACTTACTGTTCCACACAATGGATAGTAGCACAACCAAAGGTAATTAAAACTGGCTTTGCTTTAAAGATGGCTTGTAATATTTTTCTTCTCAATTGCAATCTGGAAATAAAATGGACCAGATTTATTCTGGGTAGCTATTACTGGTGGTGGAGCTCTGTACATGAGGGGAGAATTTGGTCTACTATGGTTTGATTGATCTTTTAGACACAATGGTATTATTTGCTATATTTTCAAAGTGAATGTTGAAAGCTCTGCACTGCATTGCACTTCTGGCTGAATTGCTTCAAGACTTTGATCCTGCAAATCTTCAAATGGTAAGAAGGCAGTAAATATTTTATTCGTGCTTGTGGTGGGTTGACCCTGGCTGGGGGC